TGTGTGTGTGTGTGTGTGTGTGTGTGTGTGTGTGTGTGTGTGTGTGCATGTGTGTGTTTGTTTGTGGGTATGTTTGTTTGTGTGTTTGTTCGTGTGTGTGTGTTTGTGTGTATTCGTTTACGTGTGCGTGTTTATGTGTGTGCGTTTGTCTGTGTATGTGTGTTTGTTTGTGTGGACATTTGTTTGTGTGCGCGCGTGTGTGTCGGGCTATAGTTTTTGAAATAAGAATCGAAGAGGCAATAAATCGTAATGAAATGTTCAATTTGTGAAATATCAAGTAAAAGCAATTAATTATGATTGCTTTTACTCGATATTTCGAAGCAATTAATTATGATTGTAACGAACTACACCCAAAAGGGCACATACTTCCAAAGACTTAAATCATCCGTGGAAGTAGGACACGAGGCCCTAAGGACGCAGTGCACTTAGCCTAAGCCTAAGATGGCCAACAGTTCGGCTTATTGCTAAAAAACGCACACACTGTAGACAAACGGCGCACAATCTCGTTGTTTACGGTTGAAAACTAAAAATTCCTCAAAAAGCTGTTGAAAGATCGGACGCGGGGACGAGACTGAGGAATGCGCGAAATTGTTGCTCATTTGGGGGATTTTTTCGGATTTCGGAGATCAGCCGACTGATAAGAGGTGCCTTCCTCGCTCGCTTCCTTCGTTCCTCCAGATTCCTACCACTGCTCATCCTTTCGCTTGCTTTGGCCTTTCGAATACACAAAATTCTGGTTTTTTTGCTAACTATGCATTTCAAGAGGAGCGCTGCGAAGCTCGATGCTGAGAAGACCATTGGCTGGCGCTTCAGCGACGGCTTTTGACTGCGAGAGCTTCCCTCCGAGCGAGCTTCTTGCCATCTTATCTAATACTTAGGCGGATCCAGGACTGGAGAATAAGAGACGGGGGGAGGGGGGTGGTGGTGGGAAGTGGGGGCAAGCCTTATCCCACTCTGGAACTACACAAAAGTTAGGAATAGAGTTGTAACACTGCTACTTGGAGTTACTTTAGTTTGGAGCTAAGTCATGCCCTAGTTTGGAGTTAAGTCAAGCTCTACTTCACCTTAGTTTTAGCTTCAGACCCGGACTTTTGCAGCACTGATGCTTCTGCCCTCCCCCCATTCTCCTGGATCCGCTTATGTTTGTGGATAACAACAACAACATGCATGCGGGGCGTTCATTGCTTTCTAGTGCAGATCTGCGACAAAAGTTTCTTCAGGGTTTGCTCATTGAAAGCACTTAAAGTTCCGGGTATTCCGAAGGATATTTTGTAGTAATATTTTCGAATTTTGAAATTCAGCAACTGCCAAAACAGCTCGGCTCAGCCTGATTGCGAAGTAAGTTGTGGTTTGCTCCTCTCGAATGGCACCGCCAAGAATGGGGGTGAATGGGAAAAGAGGGAGCGGGATTGTGTTTTAAGTCTCTGGAGGTCATAGCATAGGGAGGAGGGTGGGGGGATGGAGTTGTTGGCTGGAAAGAAGCCAGGATCTTGCTTGAAACCAGGAACTGAAGGAAGGAGAGGAGATTATTGGAGAAAGTATATGCCCAGTAATAATAATAAATAGCAACGCGCACCAGACTAGCCGGTGCGATCATGCGTTTTGTGCGTTTTGTGCAATTCAGCCCATCGAACGATTGCCTACTAATGATTTTCACAGCTTGTACTTTTATCTATGCAAAAATAGTTCAAACATAGGAAAATAGTTAAAAATTTCACGCACCGGCGCATGAAAACTGAATTTGAAACAATGAAGGGCGAATATCTTTCCGTGATTTCCAAGATAATAGTTTACCTGCCAAAACTTTCATAAGGCCATAACTCGACACTCGAGAGCGCGGGAATGCTGAGTTTGAATTTGTAAGGTCATACGTAGGCTAAAGGTCATTACCCTAAAATTTCAGCTTTGTAGGCTTTGTGGTTCCCAAGATAATAACTTACCCGCAAAAATTTTCAATTGCCCGTAGGTGATACGCGAGAACGCGGGAACGCTGAATTAAATTTGCAAGATCGTCCGTCGACAGGGAGTCATTACCCTAAAATTTCTGCTTCCTAGACTCCGTGGTTCCCGAGATAATAATTTGCCCGTCAAAAATTTTCACGGGGTCCTGTTACCCGCGGGCAGGGGAAAGCTGAATTTAAATTTTCTAGGTAGCACGTGAGCGGGAGACATGTTCACAAAATTTCAGCCTTCTACCTTCCATGGTTCCCGAGATACTGATTTTACCCGAAAAACTTTTGCGGGGCCGTACGTGTTACCTGCGGGTACAGGAAAGCTGAGTTTAAATTTGTCGCGTCACCCGTTGGCGGGGAACACTATACTAAAATTTCAGCCGCCTAGCTTTTGCGGTTCCCAAGTTGAAAGTGCGGGACAAAATGTGGGACACACACACACACACACACACAACCCCGTGACAAAATGCGTTTTGTACTGCTGTTACACAGC